GTTTGCGTTTAAAAATTCCTCAGATCACAATCCTATTTTGTGGTGATCCATTGAGTCCACCACTTCTCCTACTTGGAATATGTGCCACGACAGCATTCGTGAGTATGTGGATGCACAACGTAGCAGCAGCTGTGATGATGATGCCAGTGGCCACTGGAATTCTACAGAGGTTACCAACGGATCCCACTCAGTCAAATCTCGTTTCCAAATTCTGTAAAGCAGTTGTTTTGGGGGTAATATACTCTGCGGCAATTGGAGGGATTAGTACACTTACTGGAACGGGTGTTAACCTCATATTGGTTGGCATGTGGAAGAGTTATTTTCCGGAAGCTGATCCTATTAGCTTCAGTACTTGGTTTTTCTTTGGTTTCCCATTGGCAGTGGTGATATTTATTGCTCTGTGGTGCATACTTTGCTGCTTGTATATCAGAAAGGGATCTGGAGAGGCTCTTTCTGCCTATTTGGACAAAGCCCATTTGAAGAGGGAACTCGAATTGCTAGGTAAACTCTCGACTCCTGTTTATGATTGGGTAATGCTATAAGCATCAGTGGTGTTCAACACACTTGTGATATTAAATTATATGCTCAGTTAAATACAAGGGTATATGACTCATTTAATAGGACATACGTATCGTTGACATTAGATAACATTATTCATTTTGATTTGGTTAGTCGTATCGAAACTCAGGAGAATATGACCGTTATAAAGCATGAATGCGGGTTTGACCTTTGTTTAAACTAACGACAAACTCCTTTCTGGACGTTAAGAACTAATTGGTTGCTGATTGTCCAATTGTGCAGGTCCAATGGCATTTGCCGAAAAGATGGTATTGATGGTATTTTCGGTGAGTCCTAAATAAAACTTGTAGTAGTTAGGGCCCGGTTGACAATATTTTTACAAAGTCAAAAGTTACTTATGAGAAGCAACTTTTTAATTTGCTTAGGATTAGAAGAAATTTTAGAGAAAGTTGATTTAAGATAATTTTTTCAGAAAACTCTTTTACAAAAAGTAGATGCGAAGACTAAAGCTCTATCAAACGGACCCTTAGTTAACTAGTACATATTATTATATGATTTTGATTTGCCAATAATCTTGTGATTAATATAATAAAGTTGTTACAGATATTAATAGTGTTATGGATGACAAGGAACATAACTGATGATATACCTGGTTGGGGAGCTCTATTCAATGGGCATGCTGGTGATGGAACTGCCAGTGTGAGTATCGCTAACTTACAATAAAAAGAATAATTCAAAATCATGGTGTAACTTGTATTCTCTGGTCTCGTGTTTGTGTTCTTGAATGAAATTTCGAAAATCCATTTTCAGGTTATGATGGCAACCTTATTATTCATAATTCCAAACAAGAAGCAACCAGGGGAGAAATTGATGGACTGGAACAAATGCAAGAAAATACCATGGAACATCATATTACTACTAGGGGCTGGTTTTGCCATAGCTGATGGAGTCCGAACGAGTGGCCTAGCCGATGTGCTGTCCGAGGCGCTCGGCTTCCTGGAGAATGTGCCGTATTTAGCGATCGCCCCGGCCGTATGTCTCATCAGCGGGACAATCACAGAATTCACATCAAACAATTCCACAGCCACTCTTGTTATCCCGCTTCTTATTCAAATTGCACAAACAATGCATGTCCACCCGTTGCTTCTTATTGTCCCTGGTACCATTGGAGCACAATTTTCTTACTTATTGCCAACTGGAACACCTTCAAATATTGTGGGATTCACTACTGGGCATATTGAAATCAATGATATGATTAAAACTGGGGTGCCACTAAAGATTGCTGGAATTGTGGCTGTGTCCATTTTAATGCCTACACTCGGTAATCTATTTTTCAATTTTCAAAGAATCGTGCTCTGCTTTTAAGCACAGACAAACATGAAGCACGTACTTATTCGAAGTTTTTTTTTGGCAGGGGCTCTTGTTTTTGGGACAGACAAACCGCTACTAAATTTTTCAAGGAATTCTTTGTAAATAAGTAGTTAATTTGGATGCGCTCAACTATTTGAGTAATGCTACATGCAGTCGCTCACTGCAGCGGTCGTCCTATGTGGCACACACATGACATGTAGTTATTTGATGCATTAATGTGGTAGTTTTTGACCACATTTAATGCATCAAATACACACTTGACATGTGTGCCACATAGGGCGACAGCTGCAGTGAGCGATTGCAAGTAACATTATTCCAACTATTTAGGTCGATATCTGGCTGTCAATTTGCAGCTCTAATTTTTTTGTAATATTGCTTAATCTATATATGGTGTTGTATATATAATAAACTTGTGTGGTATATATAATAAACTTGGTTATATGGGTAAATGTAATTTTTTATATTTGTAAATAAGAGTGAAAATAATTGAGACAGGTATGAATTAAAACAAAATTCATTTCACTGTTTGTATGTGGTATAGAGCTTTCGCATGACAATGAGAGTTGAATATTCATGGCATATTCCGTATTTATGAGTTGATACCTTACATTTTTCCATTATTGACTTGAAACAATTTTGTCTAACGCAGCATCCAATGAGTAATTAACGAAAAAAAAAAAGAAAATTAAAAAAATCCAATTACATGATTAAAATATTTCAGACATTGCATTATTGATCCCGAACATTATAGATTAAGTAACAAATTGATCCTTAATCTTTTATTATAATTGTAGGTTCAATCTTGAATGACGAAAATTGTCAAAAATCTGTTAATTCATCACGTAAGTTTTAGAGTCTAACTTTAGAAAAACTATATTTTTGTTTCTCAACTCGGACTAATCTCTAAAAATTTAAAGCGTGACATGCTTATATGAAATCGCGACAATTTTGTGATTGAAGATTGGTTACACAATAATAATGAAAGATTAGATATCGACTCGTGACAAGTAATAATAGTTGCTCATATTTAAAGGTTGAGTATATTGGGGCCTTTATCCTATAAATAAATAAATAAATCACTGGCCTCTGTTTTTTGTTATTTCTTATGCTATTTCAAACGAAAAGTTTCAACGGTCTACCAAGTACAAATACCCCATCTATCTTCACCCTCTATCTTCTCTTCTCTTCAGTAATGGCACAAATAGGTGCTAGCCCATTAATCTCTGTACTTCAAATATGCAATTTACGCCCAAACATGCAATGCATTTGTGTATGTATTCTGTGATTGAAGTGGGTTGTTTATTGATGCGATTCTTGGAATTTCAGGTTCGATGGAGGAATTCTTGGCTGTGGCAGTGGATGCAGCTAAGAATGCTGGGCAGGTGAATCAGATTCATGCTCCAAACTGCTATTTACAATTTTTTCCTCTTATTTTTCTACATTAATTTTACCGGCTTTGGCTAGTTTCTAATTATCTGGGTCACAGATTATTCGTTCTGGGTTCAACAAGACCAAGAATGTGGAGCACAAAGGACTGGTAAAGTTTGACTTAAATTATAAATTTCAATTATTTTATAAACTCGCTGGTTTACTTTTAATGATGTGTGTTTGTTTAATTTCAATTTAATTTTTGGGTTAGGAAATGAAAATCGATCCAATGACTCGTGTTGGGTTAACTTCTATTTAGTGTTGAGTTTTACATAAAAGAATAGTGCTTAATTTTAACGGTGCTGGCTCTTAGAAGTTTGAACCTATATGTTTACAGACTACAGTTACTGCTTCATTAAAAGAAGAATATGCCATAAAGAAATTTTGTAAATATGTGAATTCTATTAAAATAAAATGTGCTTGAATAAATTGTACCATTTAAAGAAGAGTATAGAGTGCCACTGCCACATAGACGATGATGATTTCAAATCCAGATGAGTAGACCTTGTCAATCTAATGAACATTGTGTACGCCATGAGGAAGTCTGTGCTAGTTCAATGGCGAAAACTACGACTAAGAGATTATGCTCTCATTTCCCTCCTCAAGAGTAAAAATTGGATATTGATACTTTGGCATGGTATATCGTGATTGTAAGAGAAATGACATGATCTTTTGATCGGGAATGCTTGATGACATGAGCAGAAAAAACTGGAGAAAGTGGGAAAAGAAAGCACACGAGAATGTTAATTTTTTAAGTAGATTTACTGAAGATTTTCCATTGGTTAGTTCATGGGAAGAGAAGTTCCATGTTTCTGAAATGTGGAAAAAAATGTCAAGTATATAACCAAAAATAAAGAAAAAATAAAGCTCTACCAAAATGTGGATTTTTTTTTCTTTTCTTTACTTCAAACGATTTACAAATTAATATATTTCATTGAACCACGTTTCTCTAAATAGGTGGATTTAGTCACAGAGACTGATAAGGCATGTGAAGACCTCATATTCAATTTTCTCAAACTGCACTACGCCGACCATAAGGTTTTTCCTATCGCGTCTGCATCTTCCCCATTTCAGATAAACTTATGTTACTATTGCTTCATATGCTCAAATTTTATGCTTTTTCACCTGAATGGATATATATATATTTTTTAATCTAAGTTCATTGGAGAAGAAACCACTGCTGCTTATGGGGCAACAGAATTGACAGACGAACCGACTTGGATAGTTGATCCCTTGGATGGAACAACTAACTTTGTGCATGGGCAAGCATCTTATATTTTTTTTTTGTCAATAGAAAAGTTTCCTTT